TCCCCCATCCCAGAATCCCCCGGAATTCCCTGATCCCAGAATCCCCCGGAATTCCCTGATCCCAGAATCCCCCCGGAATTCCCTGATCCCAGAATCCCCCCCCCGGAATTCCCGCTCCCAATAAACTCGGGCTCGTTGCTCTCCCGGTTCTCTCCCGTCTTCATTCGCTCCCCTGCCCCCGCTGTCCCAAATTTATCCCAAATTCAGCCTGGATCCATCCCAAATTTCTCCTGCTTTGATCCCACAGTTATCCCACATTTATCCCGGTTTGATCCCACATTTATTTCAGTTGTATCCTGGATTTATCCCAGATTTATCCCGGATTTATCCCAGTTGTATCCTGGATTTATCCCAAATTTATCTTGGTTTGATCCCAGATTTATCCCAGTTGTATCCTGGATTTATCCCAGATTTATCCTGGTTTTTTCCCAGGTTTATCCCAGTTTTATCCCAAATTTATCTTGGTTTGGTCCCAGGTTTATCCCAGTTTTATCCCAAATTTATCTTGGTTTGATCCCAGGTTTATCCCAGTTGTATCCCGGATTTATCCCAGGTTTATCTCGGTTTTATCCCGGATTCATCCTGGATTTGTTCCTGTTTTATCCCAAATTTATCCTGCTTTTATTCTGGATTCATCCTGGTTTGATCCTGGTTTGATTCTGGATTTATCCCGCTTTTATCCCGAATTTATCCTGCCTTTATCCCGGATTTATCCCAGTTGTATCCTGGATTTACCCCAAATTTATCTCAGTTCCATCCCGGATTCATCCTGGATTTGTTCCTGGTTTTTCCCAAATTTATCCCGGTTTGATCCTGGATTTATCCTGGTTTTCTCCTGTCCCGGTTTTATCCTGGTTTTATCTCAAATTTATCCTGATTTTATTCTGGATTTATCCTGGACTCGTCCCAGTTTTTTCCCGGATTTATCCCAATTTTCTCTCCTATTTATCTCGGACTCATCCCACTTTTATCCAGGATTTATCCCAGTTTTATCCGGGATTTATCCCAATTTTATCCGGGATTTATCCCAGTTTTATCCGGGATTTATCCCAATTTTATCTGGGATTTATCCCAATTTTATCCGGGATTTATCCCACAGATTCCTGGAGCACTCCTGGAATATTCCCAGAGAATTCCCGGAGTATTTCCCGGGAATACCTCGACTATCCCGGGAGCAAAAGTTGGGATTGGGGAAGTTGTGTCATGGAATTCCCGTTTTCCTGGAGAACCCCCCCAGAATTCCCGTTTTCCTGGAGAACCCCCCTTTTCCAGGGATTCCGCCCCAATCCCACGTTTTTCCCGCCCGGGAGGGGCCGGAAGAGGCTCCAACCCCCCCCCCCGGGCTGGTTTTTTGGGAATCTCCGTTGGGATTTGGGGCAGAAGGGGGGGGGTGGGAGGAGAATCCCGGGATTTGGGGCCGGGAATTCCCCGGGGGGCTGGAAAAGCGCCGGGAAAAGCCGGGATTTGGGAGCCTCCGGAGGCTCTTCCCGAGGAAATCCCGGGATCAGGAGCCTCGCCGGGGATTCCCCTGGAATTCCGGGTGAATCCCAGGCCTTGATCCCGCTTTTCCCGGGTCCGGAATTCCCGGATTTCCCCCGAGCTGCTCCTCGGGCGCCGAATCCCGAAACATTCCCGACTTTTCCCGGTTTTTTGGGGCCCTTTGGGTCTCGTTTTCCCCTCCCCGGGGGCGGCAATTCCTTGGATTCCGGTGGGAATCCCGGGAAAGGGGGATCCGGGGGCTCGCTGAGCCTCGGGAACCCTCGGGAGGGGGGGAAAAGCGGGAATTTCCCCCGGGAAAGGGACCCTTCGGGCTTGGAATGTTGGGAATCCGCCCCGGCCCTTCGGCTTCTCTTGAGGCTTCTCCCAAAAAAAGCTCCAGGAATCCCTGGAATTGTTTGTCCTTCCCATATTTGGGGCCGTTTCCTTGGGAATGGGAAGGGGGGGGAGGGGAGGGATTCCAGGGGTTCCTTCCGGGATTCCGGGAGAGGAGAAGGGATTTCGGGATCCGTTTGTTCCCGGAGGGATTTTGGGATCGGTTCCTTCCAGGGGGGATTTTGGGATCGATCCTTTCCCTGCTGGAATTCCTGGGAATCCTTTCCTTGGGGAATTCCCAAAGGAATCCATCCCAGCGGGATTCTGGGATCAATTCCAGGGGGGATTTTGGGATCAATCCCTTCCCTGGGGAATTTTGGGATCAGTTTGTTCCCTGAGGGATTTCGGGATCAATCCTTTCCCTGCTGGAATTCCCAAGGAATCCTTTCCTGGAGGGATTTTGGGATCGATCCTTTCCCTGCTGGAATTCCTGGGAATCCTTTCCTGGAGGGATTTTGGGATCAATCCCTTCCCTGGGGAATTTTGGGATCAGTTTGTTCCTGGAGGGATTTTGGGATCAATCCCTTCCTGGAGGGATTTTGGGATCGCTCCTTTCCCTGCTGGAATTCCCGAGGAATCCTTTCCTTAGGGGATTCCCAAAGGAATCCGTTCCCGGGGGGATTTCGGGATCAATCCAATCCTTCCCTGGGGAATTTCGGGATCCCTTTATTCCCTGAGGGATTTGGGGATCAATTCTTTCTCTGGGGAATTTTGGGATCAATCCAATCCTTCTCTGAGGAATTTTGGGATCCGTCTGTTCCTGGAGGAAATTTGGGATCAATTCCTTTCCTGGGGAACTGAGGGATCAGTTTGTTCCCTGAGGAATTTCGGGATCAATTCCTTCCCTGAGGAGTTTAGGAATCGGTTCCTTCCCTAAGGAATTCTGGGATCAGTTTGTTCCCAGAGGGATTTTGGGATCAATTCCTTCCCTGGGGGATTTTGGGATCCCTTTATTCCCGGAGGGATTTTGGGATCAATCCAATCCCGAAGAGATTCCCGAGGGATTTCCAGAGGAATCTTTTCCTGCCCTGGGATTCCTGGAGGAATCAGCTCCTTCAGGAATTTCGGGATCGCTCCTTTCCCGGAGGGATTCCCAGAGGAGCCAATTCCCAGCGGGATTCCTGCAGGAACCATTCCCTGATGGATTCCTCGAGGAATTCCCTCCTCACCCCTCTCTCCCTCCCCACTATCCCGTTTTTCCTCCTTTTCCTTGGAATTCGCTCCCAAAACCCCCCGAAAAAGCCGGAAAAAGCCGCAGCTCCCCCTTCCCATTCCCGTTTTCCGGGGCTTTTATCCCGACTTTCCAACCAATCCCTGCCCGGAGCCGAGGGAGGGAGGGCAAAGGGCCCCGGAATTCCCGGAATTCCCGGAATTCCCGGCTTTTTCCCTGGAAAAGTGACGCTCTGTGTCCCTGTTGGCAGTTTGTCATGGATGATGAAGACGGGCGGTGCCTCCTCGATGTCATCTGGTGAGTCCCGGGAGTCTGGGGGGCACAATTCCCAAAAAAAAGGTGGGAACGGCCCGGAAAGGGGCGGGAAAGGGCGGGAAAGGGCCCAAAATGGGGGGAAAATGGCCCAAAATGGGGGGAAAACGGCCCAAAATGGGGGGAAAACGGCCCAAAATGGGCTGGGAACGGCTCAAAAAGGGAGGGAATTGTCCTGGAAAAGGTGGGAATTGTTTTGGGAAAGGTGGGAATTGTCCTGGGAAGGGCAGGAAAAGTCCCAAAACGGGCTGGAAACGACCCAAAATGGGGGGAAAAGGGCCCAAAACGGGCTGGGAATGGTTCAAAAAGGGAGGGAATTGTCCTGGAAAAGGTGGGAATTGTCCTGGAAAAGGTGGGAATTGTCCTGGAAAGGGCAGGAAAGGTCCTAAAAAGGGTGAGGAATGTTCTGGAAAAGGTGGGAATTGTCCCGAAAACGTTCGGAAATGTCCCAAAACGGGTGGAAAAGATCCCCAAAAGGGTTGGGAATGACCCTGGAAGGGCAGGAAACGTCCCCAAAAGGGCTGGAAATGTCCCAAAACCCACGGAAAACGTCCCAAAAGGGTGGGAAACATCCGGAAAACGCCGGGAAATGTCCCGGAAAAGGCTGGAAATGCCCCAAAAAGGGCTGGAAACTCCCCCAAAAAGCGGAAAACGCCCTAAAAAAGTTGGGAAATCTCCCCAAAAACCCCGGGAATGTCCCACAAAGGGGGAAACCCCTCCCCGAGCCCCCCCGGGAGCCCCCCCAGGGTCCCTCCAGACTCCCGAATTTCGGGATCCTCCCCGGGAAAACCCCTCCCAGAGCTCCCCCCCCCCCCAAATCCCGGAATTCCGCTCCCTAATCCCCTTTTCCCGTTTTTTTTCCCAGCGATCCTCAGGCCCTGAACGATTTTTTACATGGATCCGAGAAGGTGAGACCCCAAAACCCCCCCAAAATCCCCTTTTTTCCCCCCAAAACCCCCCTTTGTTTTCCATCCCACCCCCCCCTTCCATCCATCCCGACTTTTTCCATCCCATTGGGGTTTTTTAGGAATTTTGGGGCCCGTTTGGAAGCGGAGGGGCCGCCCCTCCCCCACCACCACATCCCACTTTTCCTTTGCAATCCCAGATTTTTTTCCCCATTTTTTCTCATTTTTTCCCATTTTTTTCCCATTTTTTCCCTTTTTTCCCCCAATTTTTTCCCATTTCTTTTTTCCCATTTTTTCCCCCATTTTTACTCTTTTCCTTCCTATTTTTTCCCCTTTTTTCCCATTATTCCCATTTTTTCTCATTTTTTCCTTGTTTTTTCTCCATTTCCCCCTTTTTTTCTCTTTTTTCCCCCATTTTTTTCTCATTTTCCCCTCATTTTTCCCCGATTTTTTTCTCATTTTTTCCCCCTTTATTTTCCGTTTTTTTCCATTTTTTTCCCATTTTTCTCCATTCTTTTCCCCATTTTTTCCCCCATTTATTCTCATTTTTCCCCTTTTTTCCCCCCATTTTTTCTACTTTTTTCCCATTTTTTCACCATTTTTTCCCATTTTTCCCCCATTTTTTTTCTCATTTTCTCCCCATTTTTTTCCCATGTTTTTTTCCCGCTTTTCTCCCTAAAATCCCAGTAAATCCGTGTTTCTGCTTCCAGATTGACAGTGATGATCTCCTGGACAGCTCAGGAGATGCTGCCAGTGCCTTTTTTGAAGGTGCTGGGGTAGGTATTCCCGCTCCCCTTCCCGCTTTTCCCGGGTTTTTTGCCCTTTCCCGAGTGGAATTCCATCCCTTTCCCGGGGCTGGACAAAAGAGGCGAAACCCTGGGAATTTTTCCCTGGGATTTCCCGGGATAAAGTCCCAAAATCCCTGGATTTGAGGGTAAAACCCGAGGCTCTTCCTTAATTTTGGGAGTCGCTTTTCCCGCCGGATTCGGCTCCGGGAGAAAACCCCGGGATGGAAAAGGGGGAAAGGAGGAGCCGGGAGCCCGCGGGGAATCCCCGAAGCTTGGGAAAACCCCGGAGAACTCCGGTCCTCGGGAGAAAAATCCCCTTTTTCCCGGTTCCTCCAGAGCCCCCCCGGAGCAGGAGGGGGAAAAATCCGGAATAAACCCGGAATTGGAGCCGGAAATGCCCTTTTTTCCCTCCTTTCCCCCTGTGCATGGAATGCTGTGCATGGAGAACGAGCATGACCCCCCGGCCCTTCCTTCCCTCCGGTTTTCCCTCGGTTTTCCTCGGGTTTCCCGGGAATTTTCTTTTGTTTTGGGGTCGTTTTTCCCTCCTAAAAAATCCCGAATTTTCATTTTGATCCCGTTTTTTTTTTTCCTCTTTTCAGTTTTGTTTTCCCTCCTCCCCCTTTTGGCCAAAACCCAAACCGGTTATCCCAGAAATCCTCTCCCTTTTCCCGGGATTTCCCCTCCTTCCCCTTTTCCCGGGATTTCCCCTCCTTCCCCCTTTTCCCGGGATTTCCCCTCCTCCCCTTTTCCCGGGATTTCCCCTCCTCCCCCCTTTCCCGCGGGATTTTCCCCTTCCTTTCCCCAAAAACCCTCTTTGTCCCTCCGAGCTGGAGATTCCGGAGCGGGAAAACCGCCGGACGCGCCCGGAATTCCGACGGTTCGGCGCCGGAAAGCCCAAAATCTCTGGAGTTTGGTTGAGTTTGGCTGAGTTTGGTCGAGGTTTGATTGAGGTTGAGTTTTGGTTGAGTGGGTTGAGCTTTGGTTGAGTTTGGTTGGTTGAGATTTGGGGGGTTTTCCTTGAGTTTGGGTTGGTTGAGTTTGGTTGAGGTTTGCTCGAGTTTTGGTGGAGTTTTGTGGGGTGTTGTGGGGTTTTGGTTGGGTGAGATTGGGGGAGTTTTCCTTGAGTTTGGGTTGGTTGAGCTGGTTGAGGTTTGGTTGAAGTTTGGTGGAGTTTGGTTGGGTGACTTTTGGTGAGTTTTCATTGAGTTTCTGTTGAGTTTCCATTGAGTTTTGGTTGAGTTTCCATTGAGTTTTGGTTGAGTTTCGATTGAGTTTGGTTGAGTTTGGCTGAGTTTAATTGGGTGACTTTTGGTGAGTTTTCATTAAGTTTGGTTGAGTTCTGGTTGAGTTTCTGTTGCGTTTCTATTGATTTTCCGTTGAGTTGGGTTGAGTTTGGTGAAGTTTGGTTGGGTGAGATTTGGTGACTTTTTGAGTTTCTGTTGAATTTGGTTGAGTTTCTGTTGAGTTTCTATTGATTTTCCGTTGAGCTGGGTTGAGTTTGGTTGAGCTCCCCTGAGTTTCTGTTGACTTTTGTTGGCTTTCCCCGAGCCGTTTCTGTTGAGTTCCGTCCCGTCCCCCCCCTCTGACCGCCCGCCCCGTCTCCGTTGCCGCAGCTCCACGGGCAGGAGCCCGCCGGGAACCCGCTGAGCGCGGAGCCGAGCCAGCCGCCGGCCAGCGTGGACCTGGACTTCCTGGAGGATGACATCCTGGGCTCGCCCTCGGGCGCCGGCGCCGGCGCCGAGCAGCCGTGCGACATCCTCCAGCAGAGCCTGCAGGAGGCCAACATCACCGAGCAGACCCTGGAGGCCGAGGCCGAGCTGGACCTGGGCTCCTTCCAGCTGCCGGCGCTGCAGCCCGTGGTGCAGGCGCCCGACGGCACCCCCCAGATCTTCTCCGGCGGCGCCGACCTGCTGGGCATCCAACCGCCCGCCGTGCTGGCCCACCAGGCCCTGGTGCAGCAGCCGGTGGGCGCCGACGTGGTCAACAAGGCCATCAGCGTCCAGCCCTTCCTGCAGCAGGTGGGGCTGGGCAACGTCACCATCCAGCCCCTGCCCAACCTGCCCGGGCTGCCCAACGGCAGCCCCGGCGGCGCGCTGGGCATCGGGCCCATCCAGGTGGTGGGCCAGCAGGTGATGGCCATCAACCAGCCGGCGGCGCAGCAGCTGCTGGCCAAGCCGGCGCCGGTGGCGGCCGTGGGCGGGTACATCGCGCAGCCCGAGGCGGCGCTGGCGGCGGCGCCGTCCTCGCAGGGCGGGGCCGGCCTGGTCATCCAGAAGAGCCTCCCGGCCGTGGCCACCACCACGCTCAACGGCAACTCGGTGTTCGGCGGCGTGGCCTCGCCGGCGTCGCAGCCGCTCACCGTCACCTCGGGGCTGGGCGGCTCCCTGGTGCCGGCGCCCAACGTCATCATCCACCGCACGCCCACGCCCATCCAGCCCAAGCCCGCCGGGGTCCTGCAGCAGAAGCTCTACCAGATCACGCCCAAGCCCTTCGCGCCCAACAACGCGCTGGCGCTGCCCGGCGAGGCCCAGGCCAAGCCCCAGCAGAACCTGACCTTCATGGCCGGCAAGGCCGCGCCCAACGTGGTGCTCTCGGGCTTCCCCCCCAACGTCTTCAAGCCGCCGCCGCCCCAGCCGCCGGCGGCGCTGGGCAAGTCCATGAGCGTGCACGTGCTCAACCAGGGCGGCAGCATCGTCATCCCGGCCCAGCACTTCCAGGGGCAGAACCAGTTCCTGCTGCCGGGCCAGCTGGCCGGCGCCTCGGCCGTGCAGCTGCCGCAGCCGCTCTCGGCGCTGCCGGCCAACGTGGGCGGCCAGATCCTGGCGGCCTCGCACGGCGCCGGCATCATCGCCGGCCAGGGCGCCGGCGCCCAGCTCATCGCCAACCAGGCGCTGCCGGCGCAGATCCTGACCAACCAGAACTTGGCCGGGCAACTCAACCTGGGCCAGGTGCTGACGTCGCCCAACGCCCACGGCACCGCCCACATCCTGTCGGCGCCCATCCAGCTCCAGCCGGGCCAGGTCGGCCAACCCGCGCTCTTCCAGATGCCGGTGTCGCTGGCGGGGACGCTGCCCAGCCAGAGCCAGGCGGCGGCGGCGGCGGCGGCGGCGCCCACGGTGATCCAAGGGGTGACGTTGGCCAACCAGGTCATGCTCAACGCCGGCGACGGTTTGGGAGCCGCCGTCAGCATCCAGGCCGCCCCCGGCGCCGCCCCCGGCGCCAGTCCCAGCCCCGGCGCCGACCCGGGCTCCGTCCTCACCGTCCAGCCCGCCGCGCCCGCGGCGGCGCCACTGCAGCTCAACGTGCCGGCGGCGGCGAGCGGGACGTCCCAGCCCAGCCCGGGGCTCGCCGGCAGCCCCGAGAAGATCCTGTTGGGCCCCGCGGCCGCGCCCGGCACCGTCCTGGGCCAGGAGTCCATGCAGATGTTCCTGCAGCAGGTGAGGGGCCTCTGCCCGGCATCGGGGGGGGATCCCGGCCCCGCGCCCGGTTGGGGGTCGTGGGTGAGTTGGGAGGTTGGGGTTGAGCTGGAGTTGGGGTCGGTGTTGAGGTTGGGGTTGGGTTGAGGTTGAGTTTGGGGTTGAGGTTGAGTTGACATTGAGGTTGAAATTGGGGTTGGGGTTGAGTTTGAGTTGAGGTTGAGTTTGGGGTTGACTTTGAGGTTGGGGTTGATGTTGACATCGAGTTGCGGTTGAGTTTGAAGTTGGGGTTGGGTTGAGGTTGACGGGGTTGGGTTGATGTTGAGTTGGGGTTGGGTTGAGTTTGAGTCGAGGTTGAGGTTTAGTTGGGATTGGGTTGAGGTTGGGTTTGAGGTTGGCTTTGAGCTTGTAATTGGGTTGATGTTGAGGTTGAGTTGGGTTGTTCGACGTTGAGTTGGGGTTGAGGTTGGGTTGAGGTTGAGTTGGGTTGGGTTGACATTGACTTTGAGGTTGAATTGGGGTTGAGTTGGGTCGGCATTGACGTTGCGTTGACGTTGACATTGAGTTAAGATTGAGGTTGAGTTGGATTGACGTCGATGTTGCTGTTGAGTTGCCGTTGAGTTGAGATTGAGGTTGAGTTGGGTTGACATTGACATTGCCGTTGAGTTGCCGTTGAGTTGAGTTGGTGTTGAGTTGAGGTTGAGTTGGGTTGACATCGACGTTGGGTTGACGTTGAGGTTGAGTTGAGGTTGAGTTGGGTTGACATCGATGTTGCCGTTGAGGTGACGTTGAGTTGAGGTTGAGGTTGAATTGGGGTTGAGTTGCCGTTGACGTTGAGTTGACATTGAGGTTGAAGTTGGGTTGAGGTTGAGTTGAGTTGACATTGACATTG